AACTGACCACTGCCTCCTGCCCGGGGCCACATTAACCGACCGCTCCCCACTTCTCCCGGCCATCTCAGGTGATGAATAAGGTAGGGACAGCCCTGGGTCAGTTGCACTCATAACACATTCCCTCTGTGTCTAATATCTTATTTCAGCAGATGACAAGCAGAGAGGCTGGGTGAGGCTAAGAAAAATACAGAGTTAAATGGTTGACCCAAAATCTCTATATTTAATTCAATAACATAAGTACGTAAGCATGTAAAATTGTGAACGTTCCACCAAAAATGACAATCGGGTAAACAATGCAATACTAGCTCAAAATATGACAAGGAGGAGAAGTGGGATTCTTTAGCAGAAGTAGGTAGGGTTAAATTATCCAGTGGATGCACATTGTCAATGAACCCATAAGATATATTAAGCCAAAGCTGATTTGTCTTGACTTTGTACCTAAGTCTGACCTCACATTTTCTGGCAATGAATATACTTAATTTACAACTCAAGATATTAAATGAGATTTACTGGCTAGGTATACGTAAGATACCAAAGAAAAGGGCTTTCAGCGCCTGTTTGATGTGTCCTGAGATTTTCTGCAGCCCAAGATGTTCTTTCCCAGCTCAGCTTAGTGCTATTTCATGCTTGTGATTTTTGTTGAACACCACTCAGCCATGAATGCCAGATGCCTGGAGCACTGAACTGGTTGTGTACCTCTCCTGTAACATTATAATGCTGCCCTAATGGACGTCTGATTACATAATATGATAACATGTTCCTTTGATTACAGGGAATAGAATAAAACAGATTGGATGCATTTTAAAAGCCGGACAATTCATGAAGGTAAGACCATGAATCCAAAGCATCTTCTTAATGTATTAGTTAGGGCTGCAACCAACTAATCGATTAATTGATAAAAATCGATAATGAGAATAGTTGTCAACTATTCTCATTATCGATTAGTTGGTTGGATCCCTAGCTCTCTCCTCCGCGCTAGGAGGAGGGCACAGCAAGCAGTGGGCGGGTGCAATAGCCAGCCTGCTATTGCAATTTGAAATGCAAACTAATCAATTATTAAAATAATCATTAGTTGAAGCCCTAGTATTAGAGGGGCACACATATGCACACTTAGATTGGTCAAGAATGAATGTCTATTAGAGAAAGAGAGAGAGATGAAGGAATATTCATGCAGATTCGCAGTTTACTGATCAATCAACATATCTAGTTGCATTATTTATAAAACGTGGCTGAATTCAGATAACATAACAGAACAGATGCTAGAAGAACAAACACACAGGAGGTACAACATTAATAATCACAGCTAACCCTAGAAGCCTTTTCTGCTTGCTGTTACTATTACATAAATACAAGTATATAAAGTAATGCAACTAAAGAATACTCTTGCTGCACATGTAAACCCCGAGAAAATTCTCCAAAGCCAAATTTATGGGCTAGGGGTTAGTGCTTTTTTTTTTACCCCAATACCCAATGGTCAATTGCTTCTCCAGTCAAAGTCAACCAGTTCAGGTGAGGAACATCTAATGTTTATGGTTACATGAAGTGAATTTGCAAAGTGCAAAAGATGGTTCACAATTAGCAAGATGTAGAGGCAAATTTTCAATTTACAAAATGGTGCAAATCTGCAATAGTATTAAACACTTGATATCCTCATGTGCCCGCATGTACCTTCTGTTATTTTTCCAAAGTTCCTGGTCAAACAAAACTGGGTTGTTTCAATCTGCAAACATTGACTCTAAGCAAAAGGTCTTTCCCCCAACCCCTCTTCCCCCACAACAAAGTTTTCTGCTTTTGAGTCCACCCATCATGCTTATGGACCAGTCGCTAGGCACAGGTAGAAGAAGATGGGCCTTTCTCAGTTTTTTTCAGGAAAGTAAGGGTAGAAATATCAGTGTCCTAGGTTTCAGGGTTTCCCAGGTGCTGGAAAACACATTGGAGGGTACATGCAGGCACCCGAGGGCTGCTGATAACAACAGTTTGGGAATGGTAAGGTTTTAATATGTTTATATACATTTCAACGTTTTGAACAATACCTGGATAGAGTAGGAACTGTTGTATTTTGAATATATATTTAAAACAGGAACATCAGATCCATTTACTGTACATGAGGAATATGGAGCCTCTAAATGTTCTGTTTGATCCTATAATGTAAAACACAGAATAATGATTTTACAGTCATAAACAGAGATGACAAAACTGAATCTTCCCACTCCATCTCAGGAACAGTTACATATAACTATGTATATTTGTTTAAATAATTTATACTTCTTTATAACACATTACTGAAAGTCACCAACATATAATTACATGTATTTGAAGATTTAATGGCGCATTCTTCTAAGTTAGGAAAATATAAACTAGAGAAGCGTTTCTCAACCTTTAAAAGTGTGCAAAAACTTGAGGCACCCCAGTCTAAAATGTTAAAATCATAATAGTAAAAGTGTAAAAAAAAATGATGAGTGGCCGCTCCAACGTCCATAAAAGAACACTATCTGAGATAGAGGTATGGATTTAAAGGGGTGCCCCATGCAAAAACACAAAAAAGTGGGGTTTCCCCATCACATCAGAGACCATGCTTCACATTAGGAGCCCCCTTCGCAACAAAGCCCTACTTTTACACCAGGAGCTCCCCTTTCAGATCAGAGCCTTTCCTTAATAACAGGAGCCCCCCTTTCACATCAGAAGCCCGCTTGAAATCAGAGCCAACCCTTTAGATCAGAAGCCCCCTTTTCACACCAGAAGCTCCCTTTACATCAAAATCCCACTTTCACATCAGAGTCCTACCATCACAGCAGGAGCCGCAGCTGAGGCAGCATGGCAGAGGGCTGGGAGCGGGACAGGTCTGGATGGAAGCAAACTTGCATCCTTTTTTTTAATGGATCCCACCCTCCCTGGAAAAGCCTAATTTATTCACATTGTGCAGTCGTCCCACATGCACCATGGAAATGCATGACACAAAAATTCTGAGGCCCCCCTGGTGGAAGTCAGAAGGCACCTTGGTTGAGAAAGGCTACACTAGACTTTATAGAAAAATGTTTTAACATTTTGGGTAGAGTAGGAAAGGGTTAGAAGGTAATAGGTGAAGAAAAATCTTTCAGCGAGGACACCTATTCAGTTGCACAATACTGTTATTAAATGTATCGTAATGCGGGCTAATAAAAGAGTTAGAATTAAAGTCATGAAATGTAGTTTGCTATTAATACTAACCCATGTATACATTGTGTACTCATGCATAACATGAAGGAAAGGGGCATCAAAAGTTACTTTGATGTGATAAGTCTTTAACAGAAAGTTTAACCTAA